CAACCTTGAGCCGGCTACCTGGGATTTGAACCCCAGGTCGTGAGCACAGTTTTTAGCTGCAGTACAGCGTTTTAACCACTGCGCCACGAGGCTCTTATATTGCCGTAATCCTATGTCACATTTTACAGTAAAATCAAAACTTCAGGAACTGGCTGAATATAAGATGAGAACAATACTAGTGCACTTGTGAGACAAAGCCTGTGCTAAGGAAACTATTTCTCTGAAAGCTGCTGAGGAGTTTTGTCTTACCCTGTTTCCCTGAAAATAAGACCTAACCTGAAAATAAGCCCTAGTATGGTTTTTCAGAATGCTCGTAATACTAGCCCTACCCCCAAAATAAGCCCTAATTAAGTGAAACCGTGCCATCCGCCATTGTGCAGCAACTAGAAGACAACATAACTGTATTTGAATAAATGTAGATTGTTGTACATGAAAAAAAAATAAACATCCCCTGAAAATAAGCACAATTGTGTTTTTTGGTGCAAAAATTACTATAAGACCGTGTCTTATTTTCAGGAAAACACGGTATTAATAAGTCGACTTTCTAGACTGACCAGTCCAGAGTAACCATGATCCTGTTAAGACTAGCCCTTGATCTAGACATTGCCTCCTATTTCAGGTTCAGGCCAGATGTTTGGTCTGCTGTATGTAGTCCTGCCCTCCACTGCCTCAGCTGGGCCTAGTATACCAAACTTCCTTCTGCACTTGGCAACCTGGTCTACCAGCTGTCTGGCATGGATGGCAATTGGTATTCATCCAGAAGGCCTGGTCGGCCACCATCTATTCGTCTGCCAGCAAATGAAGTTGCTGGGCCAATCTGGAGGAAAGGGAGCAGCCTATAACTCCCAGTTGTCCCACCCTAGTTACAACCTTTCCACTTTTTTGAGCATCAGGGCATTTTGGAGATCATTCGTTCATAGGGCTGCTATAAATCAGAGGTGACACAGGCTTTTCCTCCAGTGCCTCATTACCCCCACCTAGTGGGTGCCAGCTGAGGCAACTGCTCCACCCTGCCTAAGGGTAGAGCCTGTCCTGACAAACCGCGCTAAGCTTATTGTTAGATTCCTCAGTGGAAACAATTACCTCTTGCCTCTCCCATCCACAGTGTAGTGCAGAAAATACTTTCTACCAAATTGCAACTGATTTGCAGAGAGATATTGCATGCTTTAGAGCTTAATAATGAGATGCTGAGATGTTTAAAGAGACAGACCTAAATCACATATGCCTCTCTTTGTCCCTTTTTTGTGCAGGATGCTTCACCTTTGTGCAGTTATATGTCTTTTCTTCAGGATTTATGCTGATGATTTGCAAGTCGAAAGACATAAATGTCACACGTTATCTATAGACGAATACTTTGAAAACCTAAACGGAGCCCTTGAGGAGCATTTTTTGCATGTTTACTGATGAACTACCTTTATGGTTTGACCAGACGAGCAGAATAGTTTATTAGGGTTGAATAGGGATTTCTTCCAAGGAAATAAGAGGCCAAACTATAGGAAATTAAATTAGTATAAGAGAAAGCCCAGTATTACTATGTGCTTTGTTATCATGGCACTGAAAAACATGAGGAAAATGCAACACTGTTGAAGAAATAGCACTGTTCTGTCAGTATCAATGATTTCCAGTTCAGCAAGCAAAGGTACATGATTTCTGTCTGAGTGTGACCCCCACCAAGGAAACTGTTTCAGTTATAGTCAACCCCTTGCCTAGTCCCAACTTGAGAACAAAAGCAACGAACCACATTTTGGAAGTTCAATGGTTGAATTTAAACCCAGATTAGGAATGTTGAAAGATTAACAAGGAAATATATCATTCGATCAGGATAAGATAAATAAAAGACTGAAACAATGTACTGAACACCTGTACAGAAGAGAAGGTCTTCAATTATGAACCTGCAGTTTTTGAAAGTGAAGTGAAAGCTGCTGTCAAACCACTTAGGAGAAATAAATTATCAGTAGCACTTTTTTAAGATACAGAGAGAAAATTTATAAAAATAAGAATATGTCCCCATGTATGGAAAACAAAATAATAATAATACAAAGACTAAACATTAAATGATCATTTTAATCCCACAAAATGCCACACTAAAAACTTCAGTGACTATAGACAATGAGGGAATCAAAGTGATGCTCAATATTTTACAACAAAGTATTTTACCATATATGGAGTTAGAAATTCCAGAAGTTCAAATTGGGTTCAGAAAAGGAAGAGGCACTATAAATCAGTTTGTTAGTATACATTAACTTAAGTAGTCTACCAAGGAGTTTCAGAAGAAAATCAGTTTGTACTTTATAGATTACTGCAAAGCCTTAGCACTGATAATGAAACACTATGAACTATTCCAAAAGAAATGGCTGAGCAATGACATTTGATTATCCTGATGTATAGCCTGTAGTACATTCTGGACAAGAGGTTCCTGTTAAGCCAGAAAACAAACAGGATGGTTTCCAACATGCAAAGGTGTCAGACAGGGATGAATTTTATCTCCTTACTCAATCTATATACAGAACTTATCATAAGGGAAATTTTATCAGATTCAGTTGAAAGAGCACGGAAAACTGGTGGAACAAATTTCAATAGTTTAAGATACATGGCTCACACCAGGACTTGAAATGGTCTGCTGATCAAGGCTAACAGACAAAGTGCAAATGCAGGATTACAGTTACACATTAAAAAGACAAAAGTAATGAAAATAAAAGGATTATATTACAATGCTGACTATGAAGAAACTGGAATTGTTCAAGATGTTCTATGCCTTAGTTCAAAGTTAAAACGGCGATTGCAGCCAAGAAATTAGAAGAACATTAAGACTGGAAGAGCAGCTTAGGAGGAATTAGAAATGGTACTAAAATGAAAGAATATGTCACTGGAGACCAAGGCCAAGTTGATCCATACTGTGGTATTCCTAATTATTATGTATGGATGCGAAACTTACACAATTAAGAAAGCTGACAAGAGAAAACTGGGTTATTCAAAATGTGATATTGGAGGAGAGCTTTACAGCGACAATGGGCTGCCAGAAAGTCAAATAAATGGGTTCCAAATCAAATCAAACCTGAATTCTCAACTGAAGCTAAACTAGCTAAAGTGAGGTTATCTGCATTGGATATAACATGAGAAGACATTTACTAGAAAAGATAGTAACGCTGGGGAAAGCTGAACAAAGCAAGAGAAGACGAAGACTTAACCTGATAAATTACCTCAATAAAGGAAGTCATGGTCTTGAGTTTATAAGACCAGAGCAGGGCTGCTAATGCTAGGATCTTTTGGAGGCCATTAATTCATGGGGTCACCATAACATTGTAAATTTTTTTATGTCAGGTAAACAACACATAGAAAGTGAAACCTTATAAACAGTCTATTTGAGTAAATATTATAACATGAGGTTGCTCTTTACACTTTGGGCTATTTTATTTTTGTTATAGTAGCATTCATGAATAAGACATTTGATCTGTTGATCGTAATAAAGTATTATTATTATTCATGAATAAGAGTAAACAGAGGTACAGACTACAAAGCAGGCACAGTAAACAGAATAGTGTTGTTGTCATGCTAGGTACTCAGACAACATTCTCAGTAGTTTCATCGGTCAGTGAGGTGTCCGGTGTTTCACTCAAGTACTCAACTGCAGGCTTTCCAGAATCACATGACGCACCTCTCAGACTCATTATTATTTAGATGGTCTCTCCTCCTGGGAAACCTCCCATACAGTCGGGCACTGGGTTGAGTTGCCTCCTGTTTTTATTATGCCTCTGTTTGGTAAACAAAGAAGCCTTAGAGAAGACCCTCTTTTATTCTCAGAATTAAGCCCTGGACTCTCTCTCTCTGCAGAAGGAGATTCAACATCTCCCTCTGAGTGGTCCAGGATTATCAGAGGCCACCCACTCCTTTGTACCACCTGGCCTTGAAGGTTCTGGGTTCTTGTCTGAAGAGGACCCTTTCCTCAAAAGCATGACAATTCCTTTATAAAATTAGCACTCTTTGTCCAGTCTGTCCAGAACCAGGCACATCTGAAACCTTGTAGGAGAAATGTAGCACTTCACAATGTCATGCCATTTGAATAGAAAAGACCAAAGGGTTTCTGGGGTGATTACAGTGGAAGACATTGCATTCTGTCTTCAATTACAATCAGACTGTAATCAGATGAAGAAGAGAGGGGGGGAAAATGAACCAAGCAACAATGCGACAACAACAAATTGAAAACAAAATGACCTGGGCTTTTGGGTTTTTTGTTTTGTTTGTTTGTTTGTTTGTTTTTGGTCAGGGGAAAAATCCCCCCCCCCCATCTTTAAGGGCCTGCTCAATGCTGCAGTGTAATTTGCCTTTGTAAGGGAATAACAGCATCCTGGATTAATGCTCAAGAAGAAACTTCAGCCATTTTTATACCCCAAAGAAGCACCAGTATTTCCCCTTCCACTGCTGCCTTCCTGGAATTCTAGGATATTTGCCAGATATACCTGATAAATAATGGAACAAAGAGGAATCTTGTGAGGAGGAGTATCATTCAAACTACAACAGTGGCCCAATTTCTCTGGGAAAGTTAACATTCCCAAATTGCTCATTCCTAGTCCTTTCCTCAAAGATGATGTGACAGAGCAGATTTATAAACATCTATAACCACAGTCGTAAGACCGACATTTCACATGCTGACAAGAACAACCAGCTAAATAAAATATATGTGTATTACTAGGTATAATGGTTATGTATCTCTTGCTTATGGGACTTTGGACAAGAAGAATTATATCCCAAGCTTATAATAATTTCAAATGGCTGACTCAGTGAATATTTATTCATATGCATACTAAAAGCAAGCTCTTGGGAGGGTTTTGAGTCTTGACTGTTAAATAAATGTGGTATTTAACCTCCAAGCATAAGTATATTTCAAAAGGAAATGTAGATATAGAATTTTAAGGCTCCTAATAGGAAAGAGAGGTTCCTTGCTGAATATGCATTCAATTTATCAATATACATTTCTAGTCACACTTGTGTCCTTTCAACAGTAGGGGAATTCAGATGCCTACCTTTCATCATCTTCATTATCACGGTTGATATCACCACAGTACATGTCATCGTTCTGCACAAGAGAATCCTCGCAGGAAAGAAGAATGGTTTGTCACATCATACTCACCAAATACTTTTATTGTTTATTGGTAGCTTTTCCACAAGTGAAGCTGGAAAGTACCAGGATGAATCCATGTGTTGTGTAGGTAACAAATCCTTATCCACAGTGTAACAGAGCAAAGCGAGAGATAAATAACCCTCCTAGATTCCCCCAGTGTTGTGTTTTGTCACACTGTAGCCAAAATCTTGCTGCTTAGCATGGTAAATCATACTGCAGTAGCACTCCTCTGTAAGTCACATGAATTCAAATGGGCCTTCTCTAACTGCAACTTACTATATTACAGTAATCACAGTTAAAGTAGGCCTATTTGAACTTATAGAGGAGTTGACTCACCAAATCGACATTGACTCAGTGATGCTACTCTAGTGTGATTTATTACACCAAGCAACAGGATTTTGGCTAATGCATCAATGTCCTACAGAAAAGGTGTAAAATGATAAACAGCACCCACTGCATGTCCTCCTTTATCATCTAAATGTTTTGAATGCCTAATGGGTGAAAGAATGTGCCATAGTTATGTAAGTTTATTTTTTTTAAAAAAGAGAATGCCTTTCTGGCATAGCCACAATCTACTGCTGTTTTCTCATATACAGTACACAGAGATACACTGAATCTTTAAGGCAAATGTGTGATGCATATAATATACAGGTTTCTATGGGCAGATGTTACTTCTTCCTAGAAGTAGAACCAAAGGTTTACATTGTTCTTACTAGCTGGAGAATCAATCGCAGGACCTATTATCCAAAACATTAATTTTTCAGAGGTCTGATTGTGAGATAGTGCTGCAGGATAGTTAAACAATAGGAAATCCCCTGCTCAAATTACTCTAGCTAGGGACTAGCTAGAGTCCAATGAGGGTCCAGTTAAGTGGCAACCATACTACTAATTCTGCTTCTCAAATAATGCCCAGTAATTACTTCTAAGACTCAGTACAAGGCATGAAGGTTTCCAGAATCTTGTGCCATGCACATTATCTCTGAAAATGGAAGTCAGCCATTATGTTAGGGATAGAGAAGAGCTTGAACGGCCAATCTGGCGGTTTGTGCTGGTTTATTTATTGGCTGAAATGGTGTTCAGCTCTTCAAAACCCCACTTCTTTTGGGGACCCACTCAGAGGCAATGCCTGGTGGAGGTGGGGCAGGGCAGCCAGGCAGCTGCTTCCAAGAGGTTGCCTACCAGAAGCATAAACACTTGTTGGCCAATAAACAGATTAGCAAGAACCACCAAGTGGTTCATACCCATCTTTACTTAAGGATATGTGTCTGTTAAAGGGAGGAGCTCAATGGTTACAATTTTTGTTCTCTCCATGCCCCAGCAACACATTGTTCTCATGGTTTCCTTTGACCACTTGCTCTATCACTATGGAGATCTCCAGCAGAAGTAGGGAATGCCAACCAGAACCTCTTCAGGACTTCACTCATCCCCACTTCCAACCACAGTTGCGATGCTCCTTCACTACTGCACAATGAGGAGGTGTATGGCTGCTCAAGCAGATGCTCATCTCAGATGTCACCATCCTTTTATTACCCATCCGAAGCTCCTCTTCAGATGTGTCTGGAACAGGATGGGTGGTAATTCCAAACCAACAATCCAGGTGGACTAATTGTTTAATCAAGTTACTGCTAATGAAGTCAATTATAGGATCCCCAAGTAACATTTTTACTTGGAAGCTAAACCTGTTAAATTGTTTGGGTCAATTCAGTCTGTTTGACTAGGATTGGGCAACTTTTATAATGCTCCAAGAAAGTAAAAAGTTTTTCAAATATATGAGTATTGGTTGGTTAAATCACTGGTTCTTAACCTTGGGTTACTCAGGAGTTTTGGACTGCAACTCCCAGAAGCCTTCACCACCAACTGTGCTGGCTGGGGTTTCTGCGAGTTGCAGTTCAAAAACATCCGAGTAACAAAGGTTAAGAACCACTGGGTTAAATCATGATTCTGATATAAACTTGCTGTTACTTACTTATTACATGGTTGCATATAGCAGTTTTAAAGGAGAAACATATATGATACCAGAAAAAGAAAAATGTGAACTGTTAGTGTACATTGATGTATGTTTAATCATTCTGATAGATCTATTTGTGTTTGTATTAGATGAAGCTGTGGCCAGCATATTTTATTTCCATTTTTTCTCCTGCCCAACAGCTGTGAGACTGTCGCTGACCCATGAGAAAACGCATAAAATGCAAGACTAAATTTAATTTCATTGTGTTTCTTCCCTGAATCTAATTTTCTGTTTCTTGACTCTTTCTCAAACCTATATACCTGCTGTGTGATATAGAAAGAGGAAAGCTGAAGAAGAATAACAAAGAAGAAAAGTAAAAAAAACCCAAACAATCCAAAAACAGATGAGCAATTTTACCACAAATATCCAACAGGTATATTCATCCAAAGGGAGGATTAATGTGATGTGTGACTGAGTATCACAAAGATCATAAAGTGGATGTAATGAAATTTATTATTATTTGCTCAGGAGATTCATGATGAATTGGAACAGCATTCAGAAGAATGTAGATTGGAATGTTCCCAAGAAAAGAGGAACACATGAGAGAAATCTGCTTTTGCTGAAAAGCAGATTAACAACTGCAAATGTGTGAAATCTGTGAGAGTATTCTCTTACTATAAATAGAAACTGAACTTTAATGATTAGTTCTTCCCCCCCACTTTTTTTTCTATAACCAAAAATGCACAAATAAAAAGGCCGACAGGATCAACAGAGGAGGGAAATCTATTACCCATAATGGTGACCACTAAATAAAGAGCCTAAGCCAGCTAAACTTCTAACCAAAGGTAATTTAAAAACGGTGCCTAAGGAGCTTACAACTAACCTGATATTGCACCAAAAATGCCTGTGAAGCTACCAAACAGTACCACTTAAGCACCCAGGAATAAGGTAACCCATGCTTTTTTTTAAACAGGGGGAAGGGGGATGCTAGCTGAAATTGCTCTCCCAGTGCCTGGTTCTTTTAATCACCACCAAACAGCGGCGGTGTGTGTGTGTGTTAAAATTCGATCCTCTCTGCAGTTGCCTAAACAGCCCAACAGTAAAATAAGAAAGATTGGACCCAATTCCCTTCAATTCCTGAAATTTAAAGAACAGAATAGACCAGGGAGGGAGCTCAAGGCTACCCTCCCTCAAACCGAGCAATAGCAACGTTGTAAACCAGCCAAATCGCTCCTCTCCCGTCTCGCTCTGTGCCAAAAGCGAAAGAGGCCAAATAGAGGGCTAGGGTTTCTTTATATGAAACCCCAGCCCTCACCCCTGTCACGTGGCCCGCTGGCTTACTTCTTCTGGGGCCGGGCGAGCAAAAGCTGCTGCGCAGTTCGAGGGCATCACAATGCCCCTCCTGCAAGTGAAACCTTATCATAGAGCCACAGTGGTGAAATCAAGTTCAGCCCCTGTCAAGGAGGCACAGTGGAGAATCAAACTCCCAACCTCTACCTAAACCATTGAACTATCCTTCCCAAGAGCACTTTTGCTATCATTTGCTAACGACCCACACTCCTTTCTCTTTGTCTCCCTGCTACTTCTGTCCTTCTCAACCAATTCTGCACACTAGTCATTCACTATAATTCCTCCCCCATCATTCCAATAGAATTCACTTTTGTCAATCATTCCTTTACTCATTCTTCTGTTTCAGACATGCCACTGGCAGCCAACGAACTTGGACCATGATAGACATAGGGTCTGAGAGAACAGTTTGCATAAGCCCTCTATGCTTTATCTGAATTATGAAGACAGGCATTTATTATGCTGGCATGTAGACGTGCTTGCAACACATCTTGATTCCTTCTCTGCCTCTTTTTTTTTTTAGTATATAGAAGGGAGCAAGGCATACCAGTGCATCTTCTTGATGAGCAGATGGAATGATAATTTCTTTATCGGATGAATCAGATAAATAAATAGTCCTCTTCTAAGCAAGGCTCTGTTTTATTTTCAATTGCCTTAAGATGAGGACACAATGTAAATACAGCTACCCAAAAATTAAATACAGTTCGTAGCCAACGGGAAAATGAGCGCTCCTGGTAAGATTTGAATTGTTGACGTGAATGGGAAATAGATGGACTTATTCACACTCAACAAGAATGAATTCCTAAAGGAAATCAATGAGTTTTGACTGTAAGCAGTAAACTCATGTTTCAGTACTTTGGGAGTAAAACTTGAGTGGGCACCATAAATTAATTTAATGTTTAGTTTGTTACATAATTAAATAGAAACTTTACCAAAATAAAACACTGTTGTAGCACCCTATATTGATTCAAAAGGGTATAAATGGATCCAATAATTGTCTCCTGACACATACTGTGTAAGAACTGATTATAGATCTTCTGGGACCACATCATCGCCTTGAGGTCTATAAACAATAGCTATCACAATATCTTCATGCAGAGTATTAAGGCCTTGCTCCTATTTTATCTCACCCAGATGTTTTTGACTGAAATTTCTTTCTGTCCAATTGTGGGTTTTTCAGGCTCTTTGGCCATATTCTGAAGGTTGTTCTTCCTAACGTTTCACCAGTCTCTGTGGCTGGCATCTACAGAGGACAGGAGTAGCACTCTGTGCTCTGGTGCAGTTTGTTTGGGAGTTGAGTATTTATAGCTGTTGGATCAGCTTTGTCCTTTTCAGGCGATGGGTGATAATGGTGATCAATGTGTTTTTGTTGTGGGTGTATGGTTGTGATAAGGAGGAGAGATTATCTGTCACTGTGATTAATGGGTATTGTTAGCTGATCTTTTGTGTGTAGTGATCACCAGTCCTCGTGGCTGGGTAGAGTTCGTTGATCTTTTGCAGGCTGTATTTTTCAGTGCTGGGAGCCAAGCTTTGTTGAGTTTTAAACTTTCTTCTTTTTTGTTGAAGCTGTGCTGGTGTTTGTGGATTTCAATGATTTCCCTGTGCAGTCTAACATAATGATTGCTGGTGTTGTCCAGTATTTCAGTATTTTGAAATAGAATTTCATGTCCAGCTTCTTTCAAGGCATATTCAGCTACTGTCGATTTTTCCAGTTGTTTGGGAGCCAAGCTTTGTTGAGTTTTAAACTTTCTTCTTTTTTGTTGAAGCTGTGCTGGTGTTTGTGGATTTCAATGATTTCCCTGTGCAGTCTAACATAATGATTGCTGGTGTTGTCCAGTATTTCAGTATTTTGAAATAGAATTTCATGTCCAGCTTCTTTCAAGGCATATTCAGCTACTGTCGATTTTTCCAGTTGTTTTAGTCTGCAGTGTCTCTCATGTTCTTTGATTCTGGTGTGAATGCTTCGTTTTGTGGTTGCAAATACATCAAGGGGGTCACGGACTGCATGGGGAAACCCATAAATACTCATCCACATCAGAATCAAAGAGCCCGAAAAACCCACAACAACCATTAGATCTCGGCTGTGAAAGCCTTCGCGAATACATTCTTTCTGTCCCTCTGTCTCAGCTTTTCCATCACATTAATAAAGATCTATTGCATGTGCATTCACTTCATCATTATCATCATCTTCACAGAACTGCAGAGTGGAAAGGGACCCTATGGATTATTGAATCCAACTGCTGTCAAGGAGGCCCAGTGGGGAATCAAACTCCAATGTATGGCTCCACAGCCCAATGCCTAAACAACTGAGCTGTACCTTCTTATTTAGTATATGTGCTGCCGAAGCGAGCACGTACCTTCTTATTATGTTAACTTAAGGTATACCCCTTAAGTTAACATGAGTAATAAGAAGCTGAGGCCTCCTTTATGGAGGATTTTCCCTCTTCAGGTAAAATCTATACCTTCAACCCACATGTATACTACAATGACAAAACTGGAGGCATTTCACCAGACTACAGAAAACTATACGCTCTAATGACATAAGCAAAAGATGTAAGCCCAAGGGTTTAGAACAGATCCTTAGTCTTACTAAGTTAAGAAGCCAAGATAGTTTTTTCCAGTGGCTATTGTTATCAAATTCGAAGTGTTTGTTTTGACATATAAAGCTCTAAATGGCTTGGGATCTGGATACCTGAAGGACCACCTCCTTCCATATGAGCCTACCCGGCAGTTAAGATCTAGCCAGGGGGCCCTTTTGAAAGAGCTGTCTCTCAAGGAGGTAAGAGGGATGGCTTGTAGACAAAGGGATTGAAATAATATCAACTGTGGGTCCTGATGGCCATTATTAGAGTATCTATTTTAATTGTATCTTAATTGTTTTATCTTTTTATTGTATTTTAATTGTTGTAAGCCACCCAGAGACCTTTGGGTAGAGTAGGTGGCATATAAGTTAAATAAATAATAAAATAAATAAATAAATAAATGGTATGACCTGCTCTGGTATTCTTTTCCTACCATCTCCCAGTTCCCTCTTTGATTTGTATCTTTACTGCAATGGATTCATCAGTTTTATTGCTCCTCCTTTTGGTCCAGCTCTTTGCCCTGCCATCTTAAGGGGTATGCTGTCTTCCAAGGCAAAGGCAATCACGAGGAACACCACAATAAGCATTCCTCTTTATTTAGATAGCTTTTAGACAGGTCTCACAAATGCAGATTCAAAACTATGAGACCTGTATGCAGCACTAAATAGCCCTTAGTGTCCCAGCTAATGGGCAACACAGAAATGTAATTAATAAATAAGAAAATATGAATCCTGAGGTGGGAGAGGAGTCATACCACTTCAGAGGGCAG